CTGAGACTCACTTTCGAGTATAAAGATACACGGGTTAACTGAGAGTCATGACTGACTGCCTATGACATAGCACACTCACTACCGTTCTGAACTCCACCGATAAGACAGAATTCCAAGTCCTTCCCACGGGTGGGAGGCGCTCTATTCTGTTTTAAATATATTCCTCACTGTCTAAGCAGCGGAAGTCAGCCATGAAAGCCAGACGGAATGGAATATCGTAATTAGTAATGGCCAGATTCAAAAGGGAGAGGGGATTGGATTTCCCCCCCCACAGCTCACCCTCTACTGGTTCCCAGATTCTGCTAAAAAATGAATGAGAAACAGAATCGGGTGGGGCGGGGGGGGGGATGAGCTTGGAACAATATAAATAAAAATACTCTTTGGCCAAAATACTATCACCTACCTGTTGGTCAACAGTCCTACGAACGGGTTGGTGAGCAGCTGGACCGTGGCTTTGGAGGCAAACAACAGGCCAACTTGCACGTTTTCATTCAGGAGGTCCTTGTCCCCGCTGGGACAGTCGGAAGGGCCCGCGGACGAGTTGGTCACCATGGGCTGCGTGGTGGCCTTGGGCAGCGGCCGCCCCTGGAGGTCTCCGGTGGTGTTCCCAGTGGCCACGGTGGAGTTGTCATAGTAGGAAAAGATGCTCTGGAAGCCGTCTGAGGGGGAGGCTGTGGGTGCTGGCCGGGTAGTCGGGACTTCGGTTGCATTTTTCTCGTGCTCGATGCTGTACAAGTAACTTGGGATGATGGGGACTGGGGACAAGACAGAACGGGAAGGTGGTGACTGCACTGAGACCCTCCGTGGGACAAATGCCAGAAGAGCGATGGTCACGTCAAATATCAACGAGACACAGAGAGATGGTATGAATACCCCAGGAATGCCCCCTCCCCTACTGACATTAGCTCCCTAGAGAGAATGACACCCCAGGAGGCTAGTTCCAGAGAACCGTGTCCTCCCTGGGGTTTCTCGGTACAGGGTTCCACCCCAGGAATACTTTGGGAAAGCAAAATCTGGGCTGAGGTTGAGTCCGTGCTGACCCAGGGTCAACAACCAGGGCTTCTCAGAAAGAGGCTCGAAAGACCTTTAATTGAATGAATCAAGGAAATAGAAACCTAAATTGCATTGTGTGTCTTAGAAAAAAAATAAACCTGCAGGAAGTCATCCTTTGGAAATTCTGCAACTGGCCCACTTCTCCTCTCTAGTTCTGGGGTGGGAACCGGCAAGTGTGCATCCTATCCGGACACACAAGAATTTCTGAGACTTTCCATAGAGGAAAGGGGAAACCTTTTGTTGTAATAGCAGCTTTGGGCACCTGTGTGACAACAGAACATTCAACACAAAGGAGACAGAGGCCCCGGCTACTGGCTACTGAACTCCGACCCACCTCACACCTCACACCTCATCTGATCATCTGAACGGCCTGACTACTTGCTGCTCTGAAAACCTGCAAATGGAGAGGGGAGATACCACTCCCACCCTGGGAGTCCAAATAAAAAACTACTTCCTTTTACCCATTAAAAATGTGGCTACTGTAAAGGAAAAGCATGCCAAATACTCTGCTGTTAATGAGGCTAGTTATGAGAGCTGGGTTTAAGTTATTTGGTTTTTTTAAAAACCCATTCTAGGAAAAAGGCTGAAAGGAACACTTTTCAAATTGCTCTTGAAATGGTCTAGAACTGTTTCCATCCTGAGTCATTCAAGGGTCCAAGAGACTGAACTGCCGCTTCCCTTCTCCCAGGGACGGGTGTTTACCTCGTTCCTGGATGTTCCATCACATTATTAACCCCCCTTTTCGGGGAGCATAAGTCTTATAACCTTCCTGTGAGCTCTGAAAACTGCTAGTCCTTCAAAGAAATCTTTCTCTCCGCGGTGACAGTGGGCAGGCAGGGGGAGCTGACACTATCAGGAGGAAACACAGCTCTGGGCTGCATCGGGCGTCACATTTTTGACCTGACCACCAGGAAGACGAAGCCACAAGCCCGCTCTCAGCAGCCCGGCGTGGCTGTCTTGGAGGATGTGTTTTTGCAAAGCGCGTTCTCCAACTTTCCCCGTCCGCGCAGAGCTCCAGCTGGACGCTCGGTGAGTGGGGCGCCCAGGGAAGGGGTGCGGGGCGGAGGCGGGAGGGGAGGACGCACGTACCCACGACGGTGAGCAGCATGTTGTCCAGAAGCAGCGCGAGGAACACGATGAACAGGATGAGCTTCCGGGAGTGACGGCCGTCCAGCAGCCGGCGGACCAGCGCCAACTCGCTCAGGGCCATGGCTCGGGGCTGGGCTGCGGGCAGGGGGAGAGGTGAGGGGCCGTGGCGGATGGGGGTTCCCCCACCCTCAAAGCTCACACTTCCCTGGCTGCGGAAAGGGCGGCGCGGGCGGGTCCCCGGCGCACCCCTCGGCTCACCGCGGCACGCACGTCCTCGGCCACACCTGTGCTCCGGGTGAATGTCGGCGCGGGCGCCCCTGGATCCCGGGGGTGCCATCCCGCTCTCCGCCGCCCCGAGGGTCCGGCTTCTTTCTACCCAGCGCGC